TTAGGTAATGAAAGGTGACAGCTTCTTATCTCGTTGATAACGAAGTTAATATATCCATCTTTAATCTATTTAAGTAAAAAAAGAGTATATGAAATTTTAAAAGAAAATCATACAAACAACTTTCTATAAATCGGGAGCGAAAACGTTTATTTTCAATTGTTAATAACGTTGCTTTTTTGGTACTTTTATTCATCATTCAACTATTTAGAGTAAAAGTGGTGAGGAAGGGATTCCAGAACTCAAGAGAATGTGCGCCGAGTTTTTTTGTTGATTTAAGGTCGCATAAACTTCTAGGTCATTAGCGACCACTATTTCGTGTAACGGTATGGTAACTGATGATGACACAACAGGGGGCGAAAGGACTGACACAATACAACCATGCCCGAGGCGAGACTCAAATCCACGATCCTTCGGTCTGAGATCGCTACTGCACTACTGCCTTTGCGATTTCGGCCGTCCGGACTGGCGTGCGCAAATTGTACTTCTCTCGCATACGCCATATACAGGTTTTACTGTTCATTGACAAAAATAAAACAAAGTTAGGGATTTTCAATGGTACGGTATGCCGTGCCTCCACCGAAACATCCTGGTCCTCTACACGGTACTCGCGAGACGGTTTGAAAGAAGGGCTAGGCGACATGCCTTGTCGAAGTAATGCATGTAATTTCACGACCAATAATGTATATTGTATTAAGATCAGTTACAAAAACAAAACAAAAAAAACTTGTCACACTATTTACATTTTGGATACTCTTAACAGGTTGTCAAAATCAACGAGAAAGGTTTTACTATCTTCTTTCACTTTCCTTTCAGTGGACTCCATACAGGCAAACCTTTATTATTATTTTTACTCATACATTAAATATTTTACTCACAATAAATTTTATCTCTCCGTACATAAATTAGCATTACTCACTTAAAAAAAGCTCTGTACTACCAACTTTGACTCAGATGATGAGTCCAAGTCATTGGTAGTCAATACAATTCGTAAGAAATCAAATATCCATGTTCAAAGGAACCATTTACCAAGTCTCTGCAATGAACTGGAATATCTTATAATCTTCTACTTTTCCTACACTTATCGACGTTATCGAGAGTGCTTTCCCGTTGCCCCCGCAGAGAGTCTGACCGATAGGTTCGGGGATTCGATTGATTGGATCGGTTTAGTGGCACGTCAACTCCCAAGGTCATTAGCCCCGTAAGTGTAATGCATGATTTTTTTGCTCGTGAGGTGGCGGTGATCTTTATCCCGCTGCAGTCGAGATCTGACGCCGACCTACCGTCGACTAACGGGGTTTTTCCCAACCAAGTATCTCCCTCCAGCGGGGCAAAGCCCCAGCCGAGACAAGCTCTCACCTCCTGACGGGTCTCCCGGCATGCGGGGTAGTGTAGTGCGCGTTAGTGTGTGTGTGTGTGTGTGTGTGTGTGTGTGTGTGTGTGTGTAAGGAGTAATGATAGGAAGGAAGAGGAAGGTGAGATCGCTGGCGGTCCGTGGCCCGTTTATTAGGAAACTGCTCCGGCATTCGCCTGGTGTTGATCGAAGAAACTACGGAAAACTACCGATCAAGGCTGCTGGTCGATAGAATTCTCCTCCAGACAGCGACTGAATTCGACTTAGCTAACAAGCTAGTGCCGAAAATCCTGCCAGCGTCGGGACTCTTACCTAGGACCTCCCGGCCAGAGGGACTGCAGTGACATCAGTTGATGCCCTGAGCTATCTCTTCTGCTTTCTAGGATTCGAATTCAAACGGCAGTGGACTTTCGATATTAGCTAGATCGATTGATCTACTTCAGTCTCGGTCTGGAGAAGAATTCTAGGGGCCCATTACTCAGATTGCTTCCCGTTGTTCCTCAAATTAATGGCAGAAGAATGCCGCAGAGTAACGGACCGCGCGAGATCTTTCCTTCTTCAACACTACCCCTACCTCTCCCCTTACACACTAACATACTTTACGTAATCTACTTGTTACATACACTCCAGAGATACCAGTCGGGAGGCTTAAGGAGTTGTTCCGGCTAGAGAGAAGCCTTGGCTGGCAAAAGATGGCTGAGGGGAAAACCTCCGGAAAAAAACAACGAGTAGGGTGGCGACGAAAATCACGCCACCACCGGGCAGAGCACCCTCCAGGATATAACTTGCACTACACTTATAAGGAAATAATGCTTGTAGCACTTGTCACTCCGCGGCTTTCGATGCGGCGGCACGCTGGATAGTCTACATAATCAGATGCTTGCACAGAAAGGTGCGTCACTCTAGCAAGTGCGTTGGCGCCGTAGTCGATGACTCATGAGGTATTCAGTACAGCCTTTTAATTGATCATAGGTATCTACTATGGAATCTATGAAGCTCAATATATTATCCGCGGCTCCGTGGCGTGTCGGCGTGTTGCGGCAAGCCGATACTGCGCTGAGGAGG